CAAGGCAGGGAAACATTTTTTAACATCCCATTTACATTCATATCATTTGTCAAAATTTCTGGAGAGCAGATTGAGGAACTGACAATCACAGTGAAAGACGAGAGGGAGAGCTTGGAATTTGGCAAGATTATCAATACTAGATGAGTTTCTCATTCAATACTTCTAATATATTTTCAAAAGGCCGTAACTGAAGAATGGTATTTGACTTTATATGATCTAACCCACTAAGAGCCTGTAGGCAGTGGGACCTTTTGGGCTTCTGAAAAGTCCAAGTAGTGCAAAGACAATGTTTACAGTGAAGTCACTTTAATTCAAAAAGAAATGGTACAACCATGGCTATTCATATTTATGATCAAAAATTAAAACAAGATTATGTTAAAGTATACACAATGTGTAACAGTGCTTCATAAACTGCAAAGGGCCCTGCAAATATTTGGTGTTTCTTATTAGGTGGGCCATAAATTTATTTGAAGGAAAAATGAGTTTAATCATTCTAACTTGTGTGACTTTGGATAAGCGACTCTACTTCCTTAGTGTGTTTTCTAGTTTAATGGAGATCTTTCTGGCCTTATTTACCTCATACAATTGTTAAGACCCTCAAACAGATGTGGAAATGTTTCGGAAAGCCTAATGCATAATAAAATCTGAAGTGTTCTTTTGTAGCCTTCAATTTGATCAAGGCCACCTGAAGGCTAGAAGACAGTTAACACTTCTTCCTATTAGAGACAGCTAAGAAAAGCCTTTAACCTGAGATAGATATGCTCCCAAAGTTAATGTTTAAATGAATTTTTTAATGCAATATTTTCCTTCCATATTGTTCTTTCAATAAAAATTCCACAAGGGATAAGGTGGTGTATTGGTAAAGGAGGTAGCCAGAGTGTAACATGGTTTTCAAAACTTTTACCAAGAACCTGTACTCAGGTCAGATCCCCATGTCCCCTTCTCTGGAGGACAGGCTTTATGTAGTTGGGGTATCTATAATGCTTGTGGAAATTTAGGGCCCCTCTCTGTGTCTGGATGTGCCAATGATGCCCAGAACTGAATTAAGACAACTAGAGGGCAGTGAGAAGGAGGCTGGAGAAGCAGGAGTAACAAGGAAGTTGAGGTGGCTTTAAGGTGGACTGCCTTGGTGTGGGGGCAGAAGTTTCCAGTCTCTGGAGGGGAGAGGGTGAGAGAGCTCAATTCTTCTGAAAGGTTCTGGCTCAGAGCAGGTCCCAGGTTCCAATGGTTTTCAAAAGCCATCTCTCCCTCAGGCTGTGGTAGTGACCAAGACGTGGAAAGAGAGACACTCTCACGGCCCAAGGTGGCAAGATGCTGGTCCTCGCTTAGTGGACTGCAAACTCTCTGCCGGCAGGATCCATGTCTGTTTTTCCTCACTATGGAAACTCCAGAGCCAACATGATGCTTGCCACCAATAGGTGCTCAACAAATACTTGCTGAATCAACAACTGAAGAGTGATTAAACCATTAGCAGCAACCGCAGAAGGATTTGAAAATTGCCTGTGGCCCCTGATGGTGGTGAAAAGGGTTTGGACAGGAGGGACACTATAACTACTGGTGGAGCCCTCAGCCAGAGAAATGCCATTTTCTTATTGTTATCTTGCTAATACTGTAATCTGACACTGCAGTAGCTTAGAGAGTCACCTTTTTCACGGCTATTTAAATCTAATAGTTAAGGCTACAAAATCATTTAGTTGATAGGTGCCACTCTTCACAATAGATAATAGTATCTGTTGTAGCATAATTTATAATTCTGGTTCCATGAAATGTAGTCCATCAGTTCAAAATTTTGAAATTTTTAAGACCAGTGTCTGTGAAACTAGGAGTATTATACTAGATAGAAATCCTCAGAAAATCAACTCCATAGCTTTTTGGGGGCAATTTCTTATTCTACGCACTAGTAGGGATTTCGGGTGTGTGTATGTATTTTGGGACTTAGGGGGTTTAGAATGAAGATGATGTGGAGATTGTATTTTTTTTTTTTTTTTTAGACTTTCATACTTTCCTACTGCTGAGTGGAAATAAAGTATCCTGACCTCCTCCTGCCATTATTTGCTTTGATAAAATCTTTAAGATGTGGTCAAGGGAACTGCTTCTTCAAAGTGTTGACACTAGAACAGTCCATATACAAAATACGTTTAATGATCATTCATGTAAGTAGATTTATATCAACAGAAAATAGTTCCATATTTTCTTTGTCAAGCAATCAAACAAAACACTAGGACCAACACAATTAGGAGACAGAAGCCTTGGGGGCAACGGTGGTACCTTCTCTGAGGCATGAGTGCCACCCGGAGGATTCATTTGAAACTACAATGCAGCAACCAAAGAACCTAATATTTTCAAGCATTAAAGTACAATTTTTGAACACGTGGGCAACAAAGGCAGGAATGAACTATCTTCTTTCCATGGTCTGAGCTCCTATTATTTTAAGTTTCCAGCAGAGGACTCCTGAGAATATTGTTATTGAGTGAGGTACTTACAGCAGAATCGGGAAATGAATCCTGACATCTGAAGGGAATTAACATTAGCTTGTTAATAAATAACAGGCTAGAAAGCACTGGGCAAAAGGGAAACAGGCAAATGTCTCCCCAACTTGCTGTGTCCTGCTCTCCTCTCTCCCTACACTGGGTAGGGTTTCATCGGACTTTTTTTTTTCCATAAGAAGATGTAAATAACTGATAGTTTAGTTTTTTCAAGGCATTTTAATAGGTTGAGAGTCTTAGTTTAAAAAAAAAAAAAAAAAAAAGAGGGCCTAGTGGAGTAGGATAGCCATCTCCTTTATCAAACACTTAATTATTCCTTTAAATAAACTGGGCTTATTCCTTACTGATACACTCGTTTTAATGAAAAAAGTCTGAGTAGTTGAAAACAATCTGCATTTCCTATGTTTTTACCTTTGTGTAACTCATTAGAAAGCTATAAACATAGGAAAAACGCAGAAAATTTTTTTTAAACAAAGACGTTCAACCTGTCAAAATTAAAATGCCTTGAAAAAAACTATCAATCATATCTTTCAAATGCGATATTAGCATCCCTGGTGGTGCAGGGGTTAAAGCCGTCGGCTGCTAACCGAAAGGTTAGTGGTTTGAACCCACCAGCTGCCCCGTGGAAGAAAGATGTGGCAGTCTGCTTCCGTAAAGATTTACAGCCTTGGAAACCCTATGGGGCAGTTCTACTCTGTCCTATAGGGTTGCTATGAGTCCCAGTCAACTCAATGGCAGTGGGTTTGTTTTTGTTGGTTTGGTTAATGAGATACTAGAGTCCCTGGGTGGTGAAAATGATTAACCAAAAGGCTGGAAGTTCAAGTATACCCAGAGGTGCCTCGGAAGAAAGGCTTGGAGATCTACTTCCAAAAAATCAGCCATTGCAGACCCCATGGACATACATGCAGTTGCCATGAATCAGAGTCGACTCAATGGCAACCAGTATGACTGGTTTTTAATGAAATACTGCTATTTTGAGAGCATATCATAGTCTCCTACCTCAATACTTCTCCAATATCTGCAGTAAAGAACTGTTTTTTGGTTTGTTATCTTTTAATTCCCAGTCACTGGAAGGACCAATATTTTTGTAAATTAAAACTTTTATGGCAATATCTAAAAGTTTAGTCTCGCTTTCTGTACTTATCTTGCAGTGCACTGTTAATCCTGTGCTGACTGGCATTGGTCCGTGGACTGCATCTGAAGATCACTGCTCTACCCTTGTTCTCTCTTTTAAAAAATACCTGGATTTGGCCCAAAGCTCTCTGTTCACCAATGCCACTACAGTTAACATTCAAGAGCTTAACTTACACCTTCCTCCCTCCTTCCCTCTTCCTTCGTATCTCCCATCCAACTTTTAAAAGAATCTTTGAATCTGTTATGACAAAAATGTGAAATGATTTCTAGATTCCATTTTAAATTGACCCTCTACTTGCAACGTGTTTGCACAATTCCCCCATTTCCTCGTTTCGTTTTGCTAACTATATTTGCCGTGAATTTGGCCTAGACACCAGAAGCTTGTGTGTGAGACACTTGGGTAGCACAAAAGGTCAGGTATTTGAGGATTAACAGGAGAAATCCATCTAGGAAAACCATGTAGCTGATAAAATACACACTTTCTTGATAGAAAGTTAACAGGAAAGCCTTCAGCTGAGTATCTTTTTCCTACTTCCCGCTTTGCCGAAACACAAGTTGAAAGGGTCTTTTGATTGCTAAGCAATTCTGGCTTTCTGGAGCTTCCTTCATTCACTGGCTGGAAAACAATGGACTATTTTTTCTTATCCCAATAACTGAAAACAAAATTCCACATGGCTATATATTAAGTGTTCATTCACTTCCATTTATAAGGCACAAAACCCTCGTATCGATCAGAGAGAGGAAGAAAGCAAAGATCTGAAGACAACAAAGCAACCTAGTAATAGAGGAGGTTCATCAAACTAGCGTTAAAACCGCTTCACTTTTTAGTAAATGCCTCTGAGGAGAAGGTGTCCACAGCCCTTCCATCTCCACAGCCTCCTTTACTGGAACGGTGCAGAAGTACAGTCCTCATGGAGGGCTGCGTGGCCAGAACACATCAATCCCAAACACGATCTACCCCACAGAAGCTGCTGGACAGAAGTTTCCAGCTATAGGATGCCCAGTTCACACATTCTGGCCCAGCGGAGCCTCCACAGGGCCATCCCATAAAGAGTACACAAGCTCACCTGTCCTGGGGCTTGATTACTTTAGAGGTTCTGCTCTAAGGTGGGAGTCCTTGGGTGGCATAAACAGTTAAGCACTAAGCTACTAAGCCTAAAAGTTGGCGGTTGGAACTCACCCAGCAGCTCCCTGGGAGAAAGACCTGGCAGTCTGCTCCCATAAAGATTATAGCCTAGAAAACCCCATGGGGCAGTTCTACTCGGTCACACAGGGTTGCTATGAGTCAGAATCGACTTGATGGCACCCAACAACAAGAACTAGGTGAAAGGTTGGTGGTTTGAAATCACCCAGAGATGCCTCGGAAGATAGGCCTGGCAATCTGCTTCTGAAAGGTCACAGCCTTAAAAACCTTATGGAGCAGTTCTACTCTGCACACATGGGGTTCCCATGAGTTGGAATCAACTTGATGGCAACAGACAACAATCAATAAACCCTAAGCTGAGGCAGACTGCCTACCTGAGGACCCTGACTTGGGGTAGCTATGTGGGTCCTTTATGGGTTATCATCTATTTAGAAGACTGGACTTTGGGTTCCTCTTGAAATAATCGGAACCCTTGCCATGAGTTAGAATAAACTCGATGACAACTGGTTTTAGAGTGACCCTTAGAACCGATTTACACTACGAGCAGCCCTAATAGTGCTCAAGTAATCCTGCAGTCCACAAGTAAAAACAGAAGGGTCCCATGACACCAAACAGAATCCAAGCTTGTTGGCTGGGCCTTCTGGTGGGTCTTGGCACTGTGCTTCCTGGTACCATTTTCATTAGTATTATATGAGAACAAACTTCTGGAATGTCCACATGGATCCAAGCATTTCCTGGAAGTATGACGGCTTCTTAGTCCTTTATGTACCATGCAAGGTACAGATGGGAGTAGGAGGTGGACAGCACTTCAGAGAAATCAGCCAGATAGACAGGTGGTCATCCTGAGAAAAGGGTCAGTGTTACAGTGGACAAGAGAGGAGGGACCAGAAATCAGATTAACTGAGTAATTCATTATGTCTAAGGTTTTCACTGAATTATTTCAAAGATTCAGACTTCTTTACCCTAGACAATCTCAAATCCAAACGAACTAGGGCCCTCAGATCAATTTATTCAGTTACCAAGCCCAGCATAGTAGGATGGCCATTCCAATAGGGTGTGACCAGCCACCTACTTCCCAGTCCATTTTTATTATCCCTTCAGCTCTAGACTTGCCCCTGGAGGCCATGGTCAGAATTTTGCCAAACTTTTAGGCAGATGGTGGTTCTTCTTAATTCACTGTCCCATGAATCTCAGCTTTTTGTAGGGCTATAGCCCAGAGGGGAAACGGAATACTCTTGTTATCAACAACGAAACTCTTGAATCCTTTGGCTTTCCAATGCTGCTGCCATAGCATGTCCTTGGAGATAAGTATTGTTAATTTAAAAGCCAACCCTTAAAAACAAAACGTCAACTCCTATCGTTGCATCAAATTTTCCCCAAATCACAACTGGCCACCTCCACACACTGCTCACCTGCCAGCTTCAGGAATCTTTCTTGGTCAGTCTGGCCTTGACTTTGTGCCTCAGGAAAGCTGCAGTGGCAGCACTGCAGGCAGTCAAGAAAAAGAAGGAGAGGCAGGCCATGTAGATGGACAGAGGACTGTGGCGCTGCAGGAAGATCTCCTGGCGCCCCTGGAAGTCCAGGAGGATGGCCTCCAGCTGGGAAAGTGTGCAGATGGACAGAAAGGCATGGAAGATCTGGTGACCATGGCCCACGATGTCACAGCAGCCCGGGAAGTACTTCTCAGGCACAGGGCAGGAGAAGAAGTAGGCGCTGACCAGGAAGAAGACGATCTGGAGGGTGTGGTACCAGGCCGCCTGCTCCTGGCAGCCAGCCAGGTGGCACAGGGCCACGCGGTGTGCCACGGGGCTGATGTCTAAGACAAAGGCCAGCCCTGCAGGTACCACTTGACAGATCTTCCTCATAATTGGGTAAGGCCTCCGGTAACGATACTTGGCGTAGCAACAGCCGGCACAAGACAACCAGCCACAGAAGGCAGCCGCTGGCAAGAAGAAAAGCCAGAACCGCTCATACCAGGCCTGGTCGGAGCTATAGAAGAAGTGGGCCAAGGCACTGCCATACTGGTAAATGCTCACTCCAATGTAGTCCACAAAGTAGAAGGTGTAGTGGGAGAGCTCCGACTTGGACTGCAGCAGGTGGGCCAGAAGGCTAAATGTGAGGTAAGTGATTGAGGACAGGATATAAAGGAGCAGGGGCAGAGAGTGTGGGGAGGTCCATGGGAAGGTCTCGGCCTCAGCAAAGGCCCAGAATCGCAAGAGGACAGCCAGAGCCGCCAGCAAGTGGGTCCAGACGTTGACCACTTCGTTGTGTTTCTGAAAGAGGCTGAAGAAGTAGTAGCGCCACTCGTGGCCTGTGGGGCGGTACCCAGTGTGGATGTAAGGCTCGCGGAACAGCTGGGGCACGTCTGTCTCTAGGACGGTGCAAGGCATCTTGGGAAGCCCATCCTCGAGGATCTTGGGCAGGCGGCGCAGCTGCTGCCCACTTACTGACAGGGTGCTCAGGCGCTCCAAGATGGCGGTCGTCATGGCTGCAGCAGGCTTGGCTAACCCAGCACGGTCAGGTCGGAGGGGCAGATGCAACCTAAGAAAAATAAAGTAAAATCAACAAAAATGCAGTGAGAGAGGGACTGAACTACGACAGGGAAGGAACTACGGTATTCTAAATGAAACACAGCTTTCTAGCACAGTAGAGAAGGCAGGGAACTGTTAACAGCTTCCCTGAGCCTCATCTTCATTTGTTGAATGATCAAACTGAAAAAAACCAAACCTGTTGCCATCTAGTCGATTTTGACTCATAGCGACCCTATAGGACAGAACAGAACTGCCCCATAGGGTTTCCCAGGAGCAGGTGGAGGATTCGAACTGCTGACCTTTTGATTAGTAGCCGGGCTCTTAACCACTGTGCCAGTTGGACCAAAATTCCCTACTGTTTGAACAGTCTGATTCTGTCTCTATTATCCACTACAGTATGAAGCAAAGTCACAACCTGGAAAATGGGAATGTTAGCCACCCACCCTGTTTTTAATCTAGACCATAATAAGTAAGTCTACCTTTAAAACCAGTTGCTGTCAACTCTAACTCATGATGACCCCATGTGTGTTAACATAGAACTCTGCTCCATAGGGTTTTCAATGGCTGATTTTTTGGAAGTAGATCACCAGGTTTTTCTTTCGAGGTATCTCTGGATGGACTCAAAACTCCAACCTTTCGCTTAGCAGCCAAACTTGTTAACTATTTGCACTACCCAGGGACTCCCTTTAAAGACTTTATGGTTTTTTAAACCCGTAAAAACGAAACCCTTTGCTGTCGAGTGCATTCCGACTCATAGCAACCCTGCAGGACAGAGTAGAACTGCCCCATAGGGTTTCCAAGGAGCGGCTGGTGGATTTTGGTTAGCAGCTGAAACTCTTAGCCACTGTACCACCAGGGCCCCTAGGGTTTTCTAGATGTTGTTAAAATGTAATATTCAAACTGGCTCTAATACTATTATATAATCTAAATACTGTATTAAAATATAAAAATTACTAAATATTGATATTACTAACGATAGGCCTAAATTTCTTTAGCATCTATGTAATCCAAAACTACCCACCAATTTCACTGGTAATTTGAAAATTTGAGATAAGCAACTGACTAAACCTCAAAATAAAGACAATCAAATGATTCATCAATTAGACTGGTAAAAACCAACGCATATTCTGGGAAATATTTTAAAATTAACACATGGCCTAAATTTAACATAAAATCTAATTACAAAGATAGTTGCTGTTATTTTTTTTTAAATTTTGCTCTGGAAAATAAGCAGTTTTAGACTTGCCTCTCCTGGGTAACAATATCTGTACTCAATGAATTTCTGGCCTCAAAAACATTTTTCACTTAGAATTTCTAGATGAGGAATCAGCCAGATGAGGTCAGTGGTGAATATTTTATAAAATGTATCATAAAATGGCAGTTCTCCTAATTGTGAAATGGAAATGTTAGCCACCTTGTTTTTAATGATATCTAGGATATAAATAAGGCTGGCCTTAAAGGCTTTTGGGTTGCCTAGATGCTATTGAATAGGAGTCCTGGTGGTGCAACGGGTAAGCGCTCGGCCACTAACTAGAAGACTGGTGGTTTGAACCAACCCATGGCTCCGCAGGAGAAAGACCTGGCAGTCTGATTACGGCCCAGGAAACCCTATAGGGCAGTTTTACTCTGTCATCTGGGGTTGCCATGAGTCGAAAATTGACTTGCAACACCTAACGACAACAAGAAGATGCTATTAAATATAATTGTTAAACCGAAACTAATAACATGAAATGCTAGATTAAGTAAATGCATGTAAATATTATACATACTGAAATTACTAATGATAGAATATATTTCTTTAGCATCTAATCCTATACTACCCACTAATTTCACTGGTAATTTGAAAATCTGAGATACACAATCAACTAAGCCTCAACATAAAGACAAGCAAATTATTTATCCATTAGGTTGGAAAAGGATAACTGGGTTGGTAAAGTCGATGTTTAGTGAATATTCTTGGGATGGTTTAACATTTACATGAAATTAACACATGGCCTAAATTTGTTTTACTATAAAATATAATTACAAATGTTGGACTTTTTTTTATTAAGTTCTGGAAAATAAGTCAGTCTGGACTTGCTTCTTCTCAGTAACTAACACAGTATACTAAGAATCTCAAGCCTCAAAAATCCTTAATTTTCACTTGGAATTAGATGAGGAGAGTGATTATTTCATAAGATATTTCCTAAACTACCTGTGAATTTCCTTGTCAAGTTACTGGGAAAAGAAATGGATTTGCAGACTGTCTACAGTTACCTCTCATATTTTATATTTCTCAAGCTGTTTTCCTCAGAAAAGTTCAAAACTTGAGGCCCCCTTCAACCGGAAGAGGGACAGCAAGCACTGCTCAGGGCACTACTAATTTTAGGGAAGAATATTTAATCTTCTTATACTCCTTAATCCATATTAAAAGAGAAAAAAGTATCTAATCAGGTAAAAAATGCAGTGCATGAAAATTAATAAACTGTCAAAGAAGTTCAGGGAGATCTGGAGTGAAGCCTTGATTTTGCCACTTACTTGGTATCATGGATTGAATTGAGTCCCCCAAAAATATGTGTTATCAATTTCGTTAGGCCATGATTCCCAGTACTGTGTGACTGTCCACCATTTTGTCATCTGATGTGACTTTACTATGTGTTGTAAATCCTACCTCTGTGATGTTAATGAGATGGGATTAGTGGCAGTTATGTTAATGACGCAGGACTCAATCTACAAGATTAGAATGTGTCTTAAGCCAATCTCTTCTGAGATATAAAAGAGAGAAGTGAGCAGAGCAACATGGGGACCTCATACCACCGAGAAACAAGAGCCAGGAGAATATCGCGTCCTTTGGACCTGGGCTCACTGCACTGAGAAGCTCTGAGACCAGCGGAAGATTGATGACAAGGACCTTTCCCCATAGTCAATAGAAAGAGAAAGCCTTCCCCTGAAGTTGGCACCCTGAATTTGTACTTCTAGCCTACTAGACTGTGAAAGAATAAATCTGTTTGTTAAAGCCATCTACTTGTGTTATTTCTGTTATAGCAGCACTAGATAACTAAGACACTGGGTGACCTTGGACAAGTTTAAAATAATTAAGCCTCAGTTCCCTGCCTTCAAGGGGCTACAGGCTACTGGGAGAGCCAGGCAAGTAAAGGGATCCTGATAAAAACGTGCAGTATGTGCTCTACTAGAGGCCAGCACTGGTCCACAGGGTCTCTGCAAACATAATCAAAACAGAAGGGGGAGGGGCGAGAGGTCAGTCAGGCCTTTCTGAGTAACCCCTGAACTGAGTCTTGAAGGAAAAAAATCAATAATTCCAAGCGAAGATAAGGAAAAGAGCAAGATCAAAGATACGGAGCTTAGACAAGTGTATAAAAAACAACCAACCAACCAAACCCATTGCCACTGAGTTGTTTCTGACTCAGAACCCTATAGGACAGATTAGGATTGCCCCATAGGGTTTCCAAGGCTGTAATCTTTACGGAAGCAGACTGCTGCATCTTCCTCTGCAGAGCGGCTTGTGCGTTCAAACCATCGACCTTCTGGTTAGCAGCTGAGCACTTACCCACTAGAGATCAAAATTCATTACTGGTTACCAGGAGTAGAGGGAGGGGGAGAGGGAGGTCATTGTTTAAGAAGTTTAGAGTACGTATTCACGGTGATGGAAAACTTTGCAACTGGTTCTGGTGATGGTTATTATACAACATGATTAATGTAATTGGTGTCACTGAATTGTACATGTAAAAAATGTTTAACTGGCAAATGTTAGCATTGTATGTATTTTTTACAACAACAACAAAAAAGACATGGGGCCTAGAAAGTCTGGAGCGTCTGAGAAGATCCTACTAGTGTAGTTTGCAGTATGATGTTGGCATCAGAAAGACTTGAACTCAAATCCCAGACCCCACCATCTACAAGCCATGTGACTCCAGCCTGAGCTTTGTTATCTGTAAAATAAAGCCGGTAAAAAAAAAAGCTGCCTCACAAGATTAATGTAAGGAATACATGATGTAATGTTTGTAAAGTATTTAACAAAGTACTTGTTGGTTTTACGTCTGCAGATGACATTTTCCATTATTATGACCATGGCTGGCATGAGATGTGGGAGTGGTAGTGACTGGAGGATCTTTTGCCCCCTCTGTACCTTGTACCTACTTCTACTGCAGCTCCCTTAAGCCTGTAATGATTCATCTGTTTAGCCCTCACCAACCAGTGGTCTCCCATCAGGAACAGGCCAGGAAGTGGTACTTCATACAGGAATTAAAGACATCCAGAGAAACTTTTTAAGGATTCAACCAGAAGGAGAAACACATAAAGACGGAGAAGGGGAGAGAGAAAGAGAATGGTCATCAGTATACCTTAATTAATTCAAAATAAGCAAGCAAATAAAAAGGGGAAGGAAAAGCTAAGCTGTTCTTCCACTATTGGCCAGCAGAGGGACCCCAGCGCTGGGAGTAAAGTTCTGGATGGAGGCGTCTCCAACTGATCTCTGGTGGCAGTTGGTGATAGGCAGGGGAGGGGACTGATGAGGCGGAAGCAGGAGGGGCACTCGCCCTTTCTTGAACATTCATTTGCTTCTGCCAGGACGCAGTAAGGGGCACAGTGGCCCCCAGAGCTGGGCCTGGGAAAAGGGATGAATTTTCAGGTTGTCTTGTTGCTGTCAGCTGAGCAGCATATATAATCTGGGGGAGCTGGGCTTGTTGGAGCTCTGGGGAATTAAAGTGCACTACTTCTTTAGATCCACCATCCTTCTGTCAATCTGTCGTGCTGTGGTGACCTGCATGTTGCTAGGATGCTAGAAGCTATGCCACCGATATTTCAAATACCAGCAGGGTCACCCATGGTGAACAGGTTTCAGCAGAGCTTCCAGACTAAGCCAGACTAGGAAGAAAGGCTTCATGATCTACGTCTGAAAATTAGCCGATGAAAACCTTACAGATCCCAAGAGAATACTGTTTGACATAGTGCTGGAAGGTGAGCCCCCTAGGTTAGAAGGCACTACACAATAGCTGCAACAATAGAC